GTTCCCCTTTCTCCACATCCTCACCAGCATTTGTTATTCTTAGTCTTTTCTATGCTGGCCATCCTAAATGGTGTGAGGTGATATCTCATTGGGGTTTTAATTTGCATTTCCTTGATAATTAGTGATGTGGAGCATCTTTTCATGTGCCTGTTGGCCATCTGAATTTCTTCTTTGGAGAAATGTCTGTTCATATCCTCTACCCATTTTTTAATAGGGTTATTTGCTTTTTGGGTGTTGAGGGGTGTGAGTTCTTTATATATTTTGGATGTTGACCCCTTGTCAGATATGTTCTTTACAAACATATTCTCCCATACTGTAGGATGCCTTTTTGTTCTACTGAAGGTGTCCTTTGCTATACAGAAGCTTTTTAGCATGATTTGGTCCCATTTGTTCATTTTTTATTTTGTTTCCCTTTCCCGAGGAGATGCGTCAGGAAAAAGTTGCTCATGTTTATATTTAAGAGATTTTTACCTATGTTTTCTTTTAAAAGTTTTATGGTTTCATGTCCTACATTCAGGTCTTTGATCCATTTCAAGTTTACTTTTGTGTGTGGGGTTAGACAATAATCCAGTTTCATTCTCTTACATGTAGCTGTCCGTTTTGCCAACACCAGTTGTTGAAGAGGCTGTCATTTCCCCATTGTATGTCCATGGCTCCGTTGTACATTAATTGACCATACATGCTTGGGTTTATATCTGGGCTCTCTATTCTGTTCCTAAATGTTACATTTCTTAAGTATTTAAAAATCTAGAACAGTTCTTTCCCATCCACCCATTCTTTTTCAATCATACTGACTTGTTGAGGACACCAGACCAGTGTCATGTAGAGGGTCTCACTACCTGTCTTTGTCTGACTGTATTTTTTGTGGTGTCATTTAACTCGTTCCCCAGTCTCCTCTATTTCCTGCAAATTAAAAGTTAGGATTAAAGTCTTGATTACACATTTTTGTGCTGTGGGACTGTGATATAATGAGTTATAATACATATTTCCCAGGTATATTTGGTCTTCATCCACAGTTCCTGAAAAACACTGCTGAGTCTTATAAGTGAAATAGGTGTTTTGTCATGTTAATGAGACTTTTGGACCCCAACACAAGGACGGGGCTGGAGACTGAATCAGCCAGTGGCCAATAATTTAGTCAATCATGACTATGCAATGAAGCCCTCACAAAACCCATGAGAAGAGCTCTCTTTGTCTCTGTTTCACCTGCTCTGCTCTTTTAGATCCTGCTTCTGGCTCCAAGAGAACTTCTAAGCTCGGGGAACCAGAATGCTTCCATGTGCCACAAGGCCAGGGCCCAATCTCCATGAGGATAGAAGCTCCTTTATTTGGGTCCTGCCCTGTGTCTCTTTTCATCTGGCATTAACTTGTATCTTTTATTAAACTGGTAAACCCAAGTGTTTTCCTGAGTTCTGTGAGCCGCACTAGCAAATTAATTGAACCTATGGGGGAGGTTGTGGGAACCTCCAATCTGTAGCTGGTAGGTCAGAGGCACGGGAACTGATAGGTGTCTGGAGTGGGGGTGGAGGGCAGTCTGTTAGGACGGAGCCCTTAACCTGGGAATCTGGTGCTGTCTCCAGTCAAATAGCATCAGAATTGAGTTGAGTTTTCCAATACTCTGCTGGTATTTGAGAATTGCTTGTTTTAAGTATATATGGGAAGACCCCCTCCCACATACTTACACACTTAAATTTGAGAATTGCTTGTTTTAAGTATATGTGGGAAGACCCCCTCCCACATACTTACACACACTGGAATCGGGTCTGGGTACCTGAATGAAGTTATACTACTATTACTGCTGTGTATAATATTGTTACTGTTACACATACATGTGGGAAAAAAATACACCATAGCATTTGGTGTCAGAGATGTCACAGTGACATTGTGCACTGTGACCACATGCCTAGTCATCCAATATGATGCCAAGATTTGCCACAGTGTCCAAGGAACAGCAACTTGATGTCTCACAGCAAGACCATGTTCCTCCCCTTTGCAGCAAGCAGTCTGGGTCAAGCCCTTTGTTGAAGTTGTAAATTCCCCACACCCCTGTGCTCTTTTTTTCTGTGCCCACCTTCTCTGAAAAACACATGCTCTTCCCTCCCCCACAGTGTCTTCTGGTATTTCCAACAGGCAGGAGTTTGCTGAACTTACCTTCTCAATTTACATTGTGAATAAGGAAAATTTGTTCAAATAAAATTTTTTAGTTTAATTTTCAAAATTATTATTGATTATGCTTTTCATGGCCCCCTCTCAAGATTCTGCTATAACTTGGGAGGGAGGGGATCACTAGTCTGGACTCACACTGATGATTAGGACCTGGCCACTGGGAGTCCCAGGGCTCTTGGGTGGGTCACACTTGCAAGCACGGCATGATCTAAGTCCTGCATGAGGCCTGGGAGGCACGGCGGAGATCTGTGACCCAGCCATGAAAACTCAGGAGTTGTGAATGTGAATACCAACTGGCCACAACCTCCGAAGCTCCTGAAATTGGAGATGGAACCAGTCCCAAGCTCATGCAACCAACCACAGGGCAAGGAACCGGGGCCATGGACTCAATTTAGAGCCACAGGAGAAGACCACTGCTGGTGTCAGCCAGGGAACACTGACGAACCTTAGAACTGCAAGGACTGTGGCCACATGTACAACTCCTCAGCCAAGCTCGGGCACACGTGGCAACTATGGTTCCAGACCTCCTTGTCACAAACACATGGTCCACAGTCCATCTGGGGCTTTACAATTCTGATTTAGAAATTTATTTAAAGGACAGTCTTATAAAAGTATACAAATCCCAAACCACGTTTACTTATATATTCAGTGAGTCATCTTTATTGCAGTTCAAGTGGGAAGCTGGAGGCAGCTTCAGATGAGGAAGCCAGTGTGGTTAGTGTCTTACATGAGCACCCAAATCTTCTCGTGTGATCCTGAGAAAGGCCCTGTGAGGCCTGTACCAGTACTCTCTGTTTATTGGTAGGAATATCAGAACCCTGAGGCTTAGAAACAGAATGGCCAAAAATGGAAGGAGCATGGTACACAGCTGGCAATGGCTCTCAAGCTCCTGGGCTTTCACTGCAACATACCATCTTTCCCAAAATGTTGCCTTAAAAGCAGAATTGAAATTGGGTATAAAGGCAAAGTAAGTTATGATCAAAAATTTTTTTCAAGGTTTTCTTTGCAGAATTTAAATGTCTAAGAAGACCTAGAAGGCCCTCCGACTGCAGGCTCATTTTGTGTCCCTTCCCTGTTGTTCCCTATGTTTTGGTCATGCTAGCCCTTCAGATCCTTGAAGGATTTGTGTTCCATCTCACCTCAGGACCTTTGCACATGATGTGCCCTCAGCAGTTCACCTACTAGTTTCTGCTTATGCTTAAAAGTGTGGGCTTACACAGTTTTCCCAGGGAAGCCCCTCCTGGCCTAGAGCAGGTCAGGCCCTCCAGTCATCTTCTTGCAGCACTCTGCTTCTGCACAGCACCTTCACAGTTGCTTCTCCATGGGTTCGGAGCCTGAGCCCCTAAGGTTTCTAATTTCCACAGAAAGTATTAAAAGTGTGCATGAGGCTGCATGTGATCAGAGCCCAGGCCACTTCTCTCTGTGGGGACTTAGGTTCCTTATCAGTAAAACAAGGACTTTAACTTTCTTTTAGAATCTGTGGCCGAGATACATGAGCTCTCAAATAACACATTATTCTCTTGTACACAGCCTGTATGGTCTCACCCGCCCAAACTGAAAACCTCCTAAGGCCTTCAAAGTGTTTATTTAACCTGCATTCTGGGAGGAATGCTGAGATCTTCCAGGATCAGATTGGCCCAAGGGCAGAAAACGGGCATTCCCTACATTGTAACAGTGGCCTGCCTGGCTTTCCTAGGCCCTACTGGCCCCCTCCCAGTGCTGTCCCTACCCCATGGGACCTTTTATCCTTTGACGGTCCTAGAATCCTTAAAGGCTTGCAGGCCTACTGCAGTTGTCGTTGGTTCTTGGGGGAAAGAGAGAGGACAGCCAGTTATTATTCCATATTTACTCCATTTAATGGGCTGCTTTCCTTTTGAGGCTATTTCCTTCCTTCTCTTGGTTTTAATCTTCCTATTTTTTTTTTCTGAAATGACCGTAAAAATACATAGGGGTGTGTGTGTTGTCTTAAGTTTTCCTTTAGAGAAATCTGAAGCTCCAGCTTTGGCTGGTGTGGGAAACACCAGCGTCTGAGAACTCACCTGCAAGGTGAAGACCAAGACCCTAAGAGGCCATGCTCGTGGGCTCTGGGCCTGGCCCGAGGCCTTCCTTCCCAGCCAGCTCTGCTCCCCACTTCCTCTCGTCACCCACTGCACAGGCCTCGAGTCCTACCCAACTGGCACAAGTGTCTGCAAGCCCAGGGATGCAGAGGTCTCTCGGCCTCCAGGGGCTCTGCCAGCCTCTGCCGGTAGCTACACTCATGGAGCCATCAGGCTAGAGGCCACCTCCCTGGAAAGCACCCCCTGTCCGGCGCGTACCGTTTCTTCCCGCCGCCTTGGTGTCCTGGCGCAGCACGACAGCCACCTACCCATCCTCACTTCGGCCTCCCCACCCCTCGTCCTGGCGAGGTCGGTGCTCCTGGCACACCAGGCGCTGGGCAGGGCTCCGTTAGCGTGCGCCCAGTTTATGAATGAATGAACCACGCGCTCCGCAAGACTCCTCCCAGGGAACCCCCGGGTCTGTCCGGCCCCAGGACCCTCCTCCAAGGCAGAAAACCCAGTGGGAGGCATGACATCATCAGGCGCGGGTCTGACCCGGGGGCCGCGCAGACCACACGTCTCAAGAATCGCAGAGAATGGCCGCTCCCCTGCGCGGGGGCCCCCTTGGGGCGTCCGCGGGCCGGGCAGCCGGGGGGCAGGGCGGGGACGCGGGAGGCCGAGCGCGGCCGGGGCCCCGGGGCGGCGCGGCCCGGGTCGGAGCGCGCGAGGGCGGGCGCAGTGCCCGCGGCCGTCCCGCCTCTCGCCGGCGCTCCCGGCCTTTCCCATCCGGCCCGCGACGCTCCGCCCGCCCCGTCCCACATGACACCGCCTCCGCCGCAAACTTTTTCCTCCCCATCCTGTCGCGGCTCGAAAGGAATGGAAAATGGCGGCCTAGGCGCGGAGTTTCCTGGCGGAGCAGCGGCGGCGGCCATCGCGGCGGCCCGGGGCGCAGGGGCCCGGGGGCGCCATGACGCGCTGGGTGCCCACCAAGCGGGAGGAGAAGTACGGCGTGGGTGAGCTCCGCGCGCCGCCCGCCCTCGCGCCGGGCCTGCCCCAACTTCCCGGGGCGCGGGGCGGGCGGGGCCCCGCCAGCCTGTTGCGCCCTCCGCGGGTGGGGTGCCGGGTGGCCGCCGCGGCCGGGAAGGGGCGCCCCCGCCCGCCCCGCGCCTCCCCGGCTCCACTGCCCAATCTCGGGCTCCCCGTCGGCGGGCGCTGCCCTCCCCGAGCCGAGGCGCACGCCGCCCCGCGCCCCTCGAGAGCCCGGCGAGCCGGTCGGGACACGCGGGATGCGGGACAGCTGGTGTCACTTTCCGGGGGTGTCCCCTCAGACACCCACCCCCCGGGCGGGCACCCGGGTGGCCCCCAACCCGTGGATCCCATTCTGCCCACGGCCGGGAAGTTTTGCTGGGCCGGGAAGAACGCGGGGTCATTGTTCAGCCGCCGCTTTCTGCCTTTTGGATGGAGTTGTGCTCAGGACCCGGGGCTCCGGGTGGACACTTGCAAGTTGCAGTGAGCAGAGCGAAGAAGTGTGCTCTCTTCGGTGGGAAGTGGCCTGCGCGACCCAGTGGTGGTCCTGGCCTCCCTGGGGGAGAGGCGGCCAAGCGCTGGGATGTCCCCGGGATTCGGAGAGCCGGTTGGGGAGGGCGGGGGGGCCAGTTTCCTGAGGGGCAGTCGGGCGAGTCGGGCAAAACAAACAGCCCCCTCCCCAGTCCCAAGCACTGTTCGCACCCCGGGTTTGCAGCCCAGCCTGCCAAGGGTGTAGGTTCCTGCTCTCCCTGAACCCACCTGCCCCGGGGTCCAGGGTGGGCCACGGCTGCTCCCTGGAATCCCTGGATCCTCCAGTTGGTGTTCAGCCTGGCTTTCCTCCTCCACAATCCAAAGGAGTCCTTGACCACCTCCCTCACCCAGGCCAGGCTCTGCCTGACTGGTAAGGCCTTTTGTGACCTTGGCCTTCTTGCACCCCAGCCTGCCATGCCCTGCTTCTTGGTCTCTGAGCCTTTGGGTGCTGTGCCTCCTCCCACTGTTCCTCTGGTCACTCCTGGCCCTCTGACTCCTGGGAAGCCTCCTGGGTGGCTCCAGCCCGCAGGGCTCTCACCTTTCTGTGACTCCAGTTGCCCCTGTCTGCTCCGTGTCAGCGGCGTACCGTGGAGCCCGCTTGGACAGTGACAGCTTGTACCAGTTCTCAGACAATCCCAGGTCCGCCTCCGGACCCACACTTGGCTTGTCCCACGCGCAGGTGTGGAGGCCTGCTTGCTTCAGGACCACTAGGGCTGAGCTGCCATCCCACTCCTTTCCGAAGGTGAGGGGACAGAGGCTCAGGCGGGCCCGTGAGGGTCAGTGGCAGAGCTGGGAGCTGAGCTTGTAGGCAGCACCCTGCAGCCGCTGGAGGGTTTTATCCCTGCCACGGCCTGATGGAAACGTCCGCATCGGTCTCCATCTGTTGGGGCTGGAGATTTTGGGTGGGTGTGGCGGCAGTGGGGGGCCAGGCTGGGCTGAGCCTGCTGGGGGACACGCGTGGAGGAAGCAGAGCGGAGACCAGCAAAGCCTGCAGGGAGAGATGGAGGAGCAGCTGGGGCTGGGGTGCTGGGGGGAGGCGGGAGGAGCAGGGCAGCGGGGGTGGTGGTGGGGACAGCCTGCTCTCACTTCTGTTTCACAGAGGCGGGAGATGCATCGCTTACCCAGGCCCGCAGGAGCAGTCAGCACTGCATTCTGGGTGGGAACTCCGGATCCAGTGCAGGCTCTTACCCCCACCGGGCGGACCGAGGAGTGGGGGAGGGCCTTCTCTTTGGAGCGTCGCATTTTAATGCACCTTGATACTTGGCTCCGGGGGTGATCTGATGGTGTCAGTGAGGACACCTGCTTCCAGGGAAGACCAAGGGGACCACCTACACACCGAGGGAGCAGGGTGTCTCCAGAGGGAGAGCGGGCCTCCTCCCTGGGCAGGAGGTTGTGGGTGCGAGCATCCCAGGCCCTTCCCCATGGAGTTGCTTATCTTCCGGAAGCTTCACTAGCCCTTAGTCCGATGACTTATAACACCACATTTTTGGCTAATCCTTTGGTTTTAAGAAAACTGTTGGCAAGTTTCCAAAGAAGGGCATCCTGTCTGGTTTTGGCAGGCAATCTAGGAAGTATGTGAAAGGCTGTCAGGTAGAGGAGAGCGGGCTGGTCTGCTTATTTTCAGCGGGCAGTGGAGGTGAGAGCTGGACTGGGTGTCAGTGACCAGACAGGAAAACTTGTCACAGAGGGCAGGCAGGTGGGCTTGGAACCCCTGATTTTGGGCAGACGGAAAGCGGGATCTGAGCATCGACTTAACACAGAGAATTCCACTGGGTCTCAGGAAGGGCGCTGAATGGGTTGTAGGATTCATTCTGGTTTGCTAATTGACTGTTTCCCCTTACGGAAAATTCTGGATTATCTCCCTTATCAACCACAGTGTTTTTTAAAGGGGTGGCCTAACAACAGGGCTGTGTTTCCCCAGAAGGGTTCTGGTGGGTGTGGGTGGACTGCGCTTCCATTCTGAGTAGATGAATGAATCACGGGGAAAGAAAATGATAAAACTCCATCTCATTTGGAAGCATGAATCACAGCTCATTGTTTGCAAGTACTTGGAATCTGTTAGAAGCATTGTTTGTAAATGAGACACTGCAGCTATTTATTTATTTTGTAAAATCGGGAAAGGAGTAAACAGATCTCCTGCTTCCTCAGCAAAGGCAAGAAATGTTGGTTCTTAGGGAATTCATTCCAAGTGGGAGGGTGCCATGAATTTTACCAGCCTATTAATTTCTTCCTTTGGATTTGAGTCTGGGGGGTTAGAGTTTCCACACCTGGTTTAGTAAGGCAAGCTTCCCCATGGAGTTGCTTATCTTCCGGAAGCTTCACTAGCCCTTAGTCCGATGACTTATAACACCACATTTTTGGCTAATCCTTTGGTTTTAAGAAAACTGTTGGCAAGTTTCCAAAGAAGGGCATCCTGTCTGGTTTTGGCAGGCAATCTAGGAAGCATGTGAAAGGCTGTCAGGTAGAGGAGAGCGGGCTGGTCTGCTTATTTTCAGCGGGCAGTGGAGGTGAGAGCTGGACTGGGTGTCAGTGACCAGACAGGAAAACTTGTCACAGAGGGCAGGCAGGTGGGCTTGGAACCCCTGATTTTGGGCAGACGGAAAGCGGGATCTGAGCATCGACTTAACACAGAGAATTCCACTGGGTCTCAGGAAGGGCGCTGAATGGGTTGTAGGATTCATTCTGGTTTGCTAATTGACTGTTTCCCCTTACGGAAAATTCTGGATTATCTCCCTTATCAACCACAGTGTTTTTTAAAGGGGTGGCCTAACAACAGGGCTGTGTTTCCCCAGAAGGGTTCTGGTGGGTGTGGGTGGACTGCGCTTCCATTCTGAGTAGATGAATGAATCACGGGGAAAGAAAATGATAAAACTCCATCTCATTTGGAAGCATGAATCACAGCTCATTGTTTGCAAGTACTTGGAATCTGTTAGAAGCATTGTTTGTAAATGAGACACTGCAGCTATTTATTTATTTTGTAAAATCGGGAAAGGAGTAAACAGATCTCCTGCTTCCTCAGCAAAGGCAAGAAATGTTGGTTCTTAGGGAATTCATTCCAAGTGGGAGGGTGCCATGAATTTTACCAGCCTATTAATTTCTTCCTTTGGATTTGAGTCTGGGGGGTTAGAGTTTCCACACCTGGTTTAGTAAGGCAAGCCCGAATTTAGACTTAGCTGTCACACTGATGGCTTGGACCAGATGAACTTTCCCATTACCTCCCAGCTAGGCTGAGTTTTCCTCCCAACATCAACTGTTGTTACGGATCCTGTTCCTAAAATAGGGCAAAAAAATCTAGCTGGTTCCAGAGCCACACCTGAGCATGGTGGTCCACATTTCAGTGATGGTGCTGGAGGCAGAATAATGCTGCCTCCGGATGTCCATGTTCCAGTCCCTGGAACCTGTGAATGCGATGTGTGACATACATGGCAGAAGGGACTTTGTTGATGTGGTTAAGGTTCTGAACCTTGAGATGGGGAGTGAGCCTGCATTATGCACCTGGGCCCCTAAAGCAGAGAACTTTCTCTCCTGGTCACAGAATTGGAGCTCAGAAGAGAGACAGCAGGAGTGGAGTCAGACCCAGAGCCTGGGAGGTGTCTGACGCGCAGTGGCCGGCCCTGACACCCACGGCCACCACGGAAGGCCCCAGGGAGTGAAGGGTGCCCCCAGCTGACAGCCAGCAGGGACACAGCGACCTGAACCTTAGAGTCACAACTTGATTCTTCCAACACCCTGGATGAGCCTGCAAACAGCCACCCCAGAGCCTCCTGTGAGAGCCCAGGTGGCTAACACCTTGACTTTGAGACCCAGGATGCCTGCCCTGGAGAGCTGTGAGATCCTGCATGTGGGTGCTTCTAAGCCCCTGAGGGTGCGGTGACCGTTAAGGCAGCATAGAAAATGAATTCAGCGGATGCGGAGATTGGGCGAGCAAGGTTCTCCTTCCAGCCTATAGCATTGTCGTGAAGCAGACTGAACATGGAGGACCCTCCTGAATGCACCCCCTTTCCTCTGGCTCTCCACAGAGCTCTCAGATGGGTGTGTATCTGCACTGCAGATACCTTTAATTCCTGGCTCTAGTTGTCATGTAGCCCTTGGGCCAATTACTCCTGCCTCCAGGGCCTCAGTTTCCTCATCTGCAAAGTGGAGCTAAGCCTGCCTGCCACGAAGATTGGTGAGGGTTCGTTAGGATACTGTTGGCAGAGCACATAGCACCATGTTTGAGATAACCCAAGCACTCAATGGAGTGTTGCTTTTATTAACTTTTTATCTAATAAATAAATAGATATAAAAAAACAGAAATGTAGTGACAAGTGATTTGGATTTAACAGTGTTTGGGTTTGGCTGTCACCATTGCTGGAAGAATGCTTTCCTTTAAAAGTTGTTTTCTTAAAGGTGTGCTTTGCCCTATGTTGGGGGCAGTCACATTTGCTTGGTGTTGAGAAGCATGACTTGAGTGTAT